TTAACTCCCCCTTCAATCAGACTAACGTTATGAAAAACTAAAAAGAGAAGGTGCTCCTCACTCGACGTTGGTCGTCGAAGTGTTCGAAGTGTTGGCCTCGATGGTGCTACTGTTGAGGAGATGGTTGGTGCCGCTGAGTCTTCAATTACTTTACGCGATCGTCCTGACACTCTTTGGGTCCTTCAATGTTCTTACTTATGACCAGAGTAAGCTCCTGATCATTAGTCGTTCCGACTATTCGCTTTGGCGCCATTGTAGGTTTTCACTCCATATTTCCGCCGTTCTCGATAGAAGCTCCATCAGAGCCCTCTCCACACTCCCTGTCGGAATATCTCCTATGGATTCTTTGTTTGAGGTAACTCAATAACAATAATTTCACTCATTCGTACCTATCTCCATTTATTAAGGAGCGCTAGGGTCTTATTGACCTTGAACACTCGTCACATGATATCAACTAATATAGCTATTACTAATAATTACCGATTTGTTGTTACATCACCATAATTATTATTACCGCCTAAACTCGAGCATCCTTGCTCTAAATGGCAGAGCCCATGCGAAGCGGAAATGCTAGGGCCCGATTAAGCTACGCTGGTGATATTAGAATTCTTGGAATTGGACAGACTGTGTTGGAGTCAGCAGCTGCAGCGCAGAAGGAGGTGGACAATCTTCTGGAATGGGCAAACAATAACGCCATGTCCTTCGACCCCTTAAAGTCAGAAGTAGTTCAATTTCCTGGGAGACGCCAAGAGGATACTATCGGCGTCAAATTTTACGGCACTATGATTGAACCCGCCAACCACATACGCTGGCTCGGAGTACACCTTGACCCGCGGCTATCCTTCAAGCATCATATGGCAACATGGTGTGGGAAAGCACTTAAGATGGCACAGCACATGCGAATATTAAACTCAGTCAAGCGGGGAGCCGATCTAGGCCCCCTAATCACCGCAGTCGATGCGTCCGTCGTTCCGGCTACCACATTCGGGTCCAAAGTTTGGTGGCCAGGAATGACCCGACCAACAGTTTCTGGAATTGTTACGTCGCAAACCACTCATCTCTGCAGTCTGATAGATAAGGTATTGCTTCTAGCGCTGAGGGTGGCGTTACCAGTACGGAAGACGACATCGAGCGCAGCTCTGCATAGGGAGGGAGGCATCCCACCAGCCAGGGTGCTGCTCGAAGAAAATCGGCTCAGGCTAGCTGCGCGGCTTAACACTCTCGACAATCGCCGCCAATTACGTGGTCGAGCGAGCGTCTATCCAAATGTAAGCACAAAAAAGTACAAGTTGAAGGCTAGAACAAGCAAAAATCCGGAGACTCGGATGACTCGGATCCAACGAGCACTTCGGCAACTGCCACTAGCGGAGGCCGGGATTCTAGAGCCACTACTGACGCCAGCACATTCACCCAAGCTGGGAACAAAGACGGGAGAGATCGACTCGCACAAAAGTTGAATAAGGTCAATCTCTCCATCAGATATTTGCGCCTACTCAGATGGGTCTTCGGAGGGGCACGGCCGCTCATCCTGGGGCTATGTCCTCCAGCGCGGAGGATCGATATTTCAGAAGAACCAAGGAGCTTACTACGGAGCAGAGTTTTATGATGCGCAGATAATGGGAGCCACAGTCGCACTTCAAGCCGCACTAGCTACAAGAAAACCCGGTGAGGTCTTTGTGCTGCTAGACAACCAGGCCGCAGTGCGCGCACACCAGATAGGGAAATCCTCATCCTACCTCCGAACAACGTGGGTCTTCAATGAAGTCGCACGGAAGGCGAAAGTACAAGTCAGATGGATGCCAGGGCACTCAAAGATAAGTGAAAATGAAGAGGCCAATGCTGCAGCATGCTCAGCACCCTTGTCACTTTCAGCCCGACACCTACAGCCCGGATAAATCACGCAGGCATACTTGTGTCGATTGGTGTACCAGCGTCGACAAAAGCTGATTGAAGTCTGGTGGTCGACATCATGTCCAGCCCACTACCGCGATCTGGACCTACAAATGCGCCATCGTAAACCACCTGAACTGGGACTTTCTCTTCTCCTACCCCACGAGCTTATAGCTGCTCGAACTGGGCACGGAAATTTGGCGGCATACCACCGTCGATTTCATCATGAGGATGCCACGCTAGAATGTGTTTATGGGTTGGAAACTACACCAACCCACTTTATTCGCTCCCAAAGGCACGCCAGCCAGTTGCGCAGTCTTAGAAATTCAATGCCAGTAGAATTATTTACGAGTTAACGTCTTGGTCAAAGATGTGTCGGAAATTCAACGGAATTTGCAAGGATAACCGGCTGTCTCGGGTGCCTGCATGCACACACGTCCTCAGCTGGATGTGATGATAGTAGTTATTAGAACGCTAGTAATTAAGCGGTGATGGAGGGACTTAAGTGTGAGGAACACTGGGTTGGTTCCTATCATGTAATTGTTCTATGCTTTTTGTAATTATATCCTCTTGTGATATTAGATTAGGGTATAAATAGTGTGATCGAGTAGAGCACGCCTCTGGGTGTGATTCCTACCAAGTCCACCGGTCTCGTGCCACAAGGCGCTAGGATAGAGCCTGAGACTTACTAAAATCATCATCATCATCATCCAGCACCCCTGCTTTATGCACATCTAAGTAAAACTTGTGTGCTATAATTCGACACTCTCTTTGTAGACCTGGTAGGTCCGATACACTGCTATCTGGTATGAACGGTGTTTCCTTCCATAATTCACGCAAGAAACCCTTTTTCTAGAACAGTCCAAAGTTTGGTAAGCACCAGCGCACTCGCCGCACCTGCCTATCTTTCCACACGACACCTGTTTTTGTCCCCACTGACTGTAGTTGAAGCAATGCTTTGGCTGGCCCCATGGTGACCGCACATACGCGGTGAAGAGCATGGCATTTATGACGATACCATGTCAAACCACTTCTCTTTGAATTTCATCCGACGGGAGGCTGTACATGATTGATCCTCTAGCTCAGCCGTCGTTCTTCGACCGCTGATGCTCTTTACCTTCATGTAGTCAACTTCCTCGATGTAGTAAGGCCAGGAATCCGAGCCTAAATCGCTACCTCAATATCCCTAATTATAGTGTAGTTATAGGCATCTCTGCCATCTTTAATTCGAGTCCGCAAAGGGACGCTGGAAACCTCGACTGGAAAGTCTTGCCGTAAAATCTTGAACTCATTTAGTTATCGCTTGTTGAGCGCTTCGTCTCTCTGTGACAACGACTAGACGAACACCTCAGTGTCTTTGCTTCGAATCTAGCGAATTGCAAATGCTCCTTGGATGTGTAGTAGTACCTTTAAAAGAAACTCTTACAGCTGCAGGTTTTGGACCTCGTCATTTCTCATCTTGACTGCCGTTTTTGCCATTTGTGCAGCTACGACCGACGTAGAAGTCCTTTGAATCGGCACCCCGACAATTATACAGGAGCAGCATATCGTACGGAATCCACGAGGCTCTACTTAACTACTGCCTACATATGTAATTCATAATGTCAAAGGTAACTTGGTGGGGCTACCTAATCGGGTATGGCGTAACAGAAAATAATAAATGAGTATGTATATAGTCTCTTCTTTGGGAGAGAGAATAGGAATCATCTAAGAACCATCCATATCGTTGCAACAAGCTTGTGATTAAATTACTCCGACAACTACCTCTTTCAGTAACATAAACCTCTCCTCGATTGGAGACGAGATCTGGGAAACTATAGTCCAAGCCTTATTATTACAATTGAACCCTTTAATGGCTTCGCTGATCTTCTCCATGGTAGGAAAACCCTCCTCATTTATATCGCCAATCACGATTAGTCTGAATTTTTCCGGTCGTTTCCCTATAATGTTAAGGTTATAATCTTGTGGAGATATCTGCACTCCAATGCCTTCTGATTTGCTTGCCGTTGTTGCCGTTGTTGACGTTTGCGACCCGCCGAAACAGTTGGATTCACCCACACCCACACCCACCATGGTATAGCACGGAAAGCGAGATGAGCAGAGAACGATGAAGGAGATATAAAAATAAGATTCACGTTGTCAAATTGATGATAAATGCAGTGTCAAGCGCTGCGCAGCTTTCTCGCAAGAATGATGTTTTTTCCTTGATGCTTCTGGTTAAATGTCAAATCTGGTGCTAAAATGAAGCTGGAAATTTACAGTGGTTAAAGATAATGATACCAATTGTGGCAAGACTCTAAGGAAGGCAAAATATGAATAGATATTCAGTTGTTATTCTATCCGAATTAAGTGAACTTACCTATATCTGACAACTACTTAGTCATCTATGCAACAGAATCTTGTCCTATTTCGCTAGCAGTATCTCTCCGTTGCTGAGTCATTCGAATGATGACTCAACCAATGTTGAGAACTTCGGATCTTCCATGTTTTAGCATAGAGTAAACAATAATAGAACAACCTTACTTTCACTTTTGAACCTTTTGTTTTGCATTGCATTAATCCTGAATGCTCGTGCATCAAAGTCAATCGACACTTAGACTCACAGTTGTAATAAATTTTGACATCGTATCGCACCCTACCGCTATCGTAGTGATCAACCACGATTCCCAGTATCTACTGACTTATTAACTTATGTCTAGTTGAAAAAGATAGAGTGAGTGTCCCCACGAACAAAATAGGTAAAAGCCTTGTAAGAGATTAATTAAGTGTTAAAATCAATCTTATTTTAATACCTGCTGACGGTTTATTTTGAAATCTGGAATCATAATTATCTGTTTGATGGTGTCTAAGGGTGGGTTTTAAGTATGGATGATTCCAAAGTGAACTGTAGTTTGTCTTTACATTTAGACATAAGTTTTAGTTTATCTGATACAAACTTATATCAAAAAGATGAGGGCATGATTCTATACAGAGATTGCAAACACACTTGCGGTAATAAATTAATCCGACACCAAGCCCATTCTTGCTCTGGGTTCAATATTGTACATGTTAATTTTCGGGATGTATCAACGCCTCTTTTACCGTGCATCTTTCATTTTATCCTCTCCAGCTCAACTGGAAAGACGGCCTTTCATCGAAAATGGATCCTTCGGCTCATGCCGAACATCCTGGCCTACAATGAAGCGGTCATTCGCGAAGAGTTTCATAGCATAAGCCCACCACCACTCACCAGCAATCCATCCATCAATACTCTCATGCAATCTACAAAAGAGACCTATTTTTTCTCCCCAATCGATGAGTAGTTTTATCTCCCATTCTTCCATAGTTGGCGTAAAAATTCGGACCAGCTCTGGTATATCTACTCCAGCACGTAGCGCTAAAACTTGAGCGATAGCAGAGTAGATATCTTTCCAAACTGCAATGATCACCGTCTCGTTGATACTATACCAGACAGGAAGTGCCATTTGTTTGCCACGAGGGGGTCCTAAATCGATAGCTTTCTTCAAAATTTCGTTCTCGTCATCATATATATACGAGGATGTTGGGTAGATATCAAGCTCAAAACGTAGGCGTTCCCTTGGTATTTTCTTGGTCTCATACCCGCCTTCTGTGAGTCCGAATTTTTCTCTAGGCACACCCATGGCGATGAGCTCGATGCGTTCCCTTGCTTGCAAATTGCTAATGACCATAATATCACCGTCCCAAGCCATATAGTCAACCCGGACACACTTTTTCCCACTCCTAAACTCAGAATCCAAATACCGTTTGAATACACTTGCATCTCTTAGGCACTTTGGCTTAACTTCTCTTCGTAGAGACCTAGAAAAAATTTCCGTAGTTTCATAATTTCGACTACCTGAGTTTGGGCGCTTTTTGGAGCGTTGTATTATAACTTTTGACTCAATTAGAGCTGCGAGGGCTTTTTCACAAAGACTGTTTCCAAAACTAAGCATCTTCTTTTCCATTATAACTGAAGAGTTTTCATCTTCTGGAGATAACGCCATTGCTCGGAACCAGGACTTAGCCACCGTTAAGTCAGCAGGCTCAATCTTTGATTCTGATTCGGATCGCTTCAAGACTGGTATTGATAGGGCATGAAAGGAAGCGTAGTCTAATCTTCTATACGTAGCAGCGTTCGTTTCAAACCATTTATCTCTCCAGGTTTCCTTATGATCGATGACCTCCATTGCGTATCGCATCTGTAGTTCTGCTCGGGAATCTGGTATGGTCACTGGTTTGTGACTAAAGCTCGTATCAACAGTGTTCATAGTCCAGTCAATCAGTTTGTTCCAGTCATAGTTCTGAAGATCATCGTAGTCAATAGCAGCGATCTCACCAGATTCATAAGCAGCGACGAAAGCTTCTTGGAAATCGCTTTCAAGTCTATCAATTATTTTCTTGTGCCTAATTAAGAGTTGTTTCCAGTGCCCTCTCATAAAGTTGAGCGAAAACTTCGGAAAAAGTAATGAAACGAGAACCCAATCAGTTAAACATTCTATGCCACCTGTAAGAGCACGTATAACGATGACAGCTATTATAAAACGCTTCTCAACTGCAAGAGACATACTGTCATGTGCATTTCTTTTTCTGAGTTTTGCGACTTCATCTCCTGCTGCCATAGGAATACCGAGAAATTGTGACGATGATTCTGGATGGTCACCAATTCCCCAGAAATCTACGTTTAAGTGCGTCAATAGTCGGGTGCATCGTTGTCTATTAGAGCCATTAGACTGTTTACACCGAGAAATGCTGCTCTGCTTTTGAATCTTTATGTCAAGGGGTTTAGGGACTATTTCATCGAATGTGAGTGAGAAGCTCATTTCTTGGTAAGGAATAGAATTCATGTCGAATGCTGTCTGCTCATCCCAACGTACTTCGTAATTATCATCTATCTCGGAAAGAACTCCAGTTGTAGTCCAGGATCCTTCTTCAAAACTGCATGTAGGGTCCACAGGCAATGGGGCTATAAAATTGATTTCAGAATAGTGATCTATATAATTAAAATCTTTCTGAGTGGTTTCTTCACAAGCCGAGTTAAAAAGACCAAAGCTAGATGGAAGAGTGTCTAGACCGGGGTTTCTAACTGCCTCAATACCATGTTTCTTGGGTTCGTAAAAGCGGATCATATCTGAATTACATAGTGCCATATTTGTGTGGGCACTCGGTTTTGTTGAAGGATGCAAGGACTCACGGGTCGTTGTTTCAGAAGATATTTCTGAATTCTTCTCTCCCTGACTTCGTGTCAGGTATCTTTTAGAGCGCTCAGAGATTGACGAAGGCTCATGTTGATCGTATGGAGTTTCTTCAATTGCTTTATCTTCTACATGAACCTTTCGCATTGGCGCTGTAGAGGTGTCTAATTTCATTGCGGGTGCATCAATAGCAGATACAGACTCGGTAACCTTCGCCTTAGATTTTCGAGTCGAACGAGTTTTAGAAATCGGAGTTTCTTCTGTCAAACGCTTTGAATGACGCAAAGGACGATGCACCTCATTCTTACTCGGAATTTTGGTTGTTGAACGTCTTGTTCTTGGCTTCCTCTCAATACATCTTATTTTATCTAGAGCCTTAGGGGTTGTTGGGAAAAGTGCTGACGCTGAACAATTTGTCGACATTCCATGGCCGATGGGTCGGATTGACCAGGAGCCATTCTCCCCTTGCATGTAGGTAATGGACTCAACAAATACTCGCGGAGATTCTGATGATACTAATGAGATATCCAAAAAGCTACTGTTGAGTTGATCCCAGGTACCAGTGTCCGGATCCTGCAAATAGAATTGCGCACAGTTCCATGTTTGTTCACTGACATCCGGTGAAGAATATTTTTTAGTGCCTTTGGCCCCTTGAGAATTAGGCTTCTTCCTTGTAGGTCTTGGCTTAGAAGTCCTACCCAGTGATTGATGATATCTTCGGAGGCCCTCAGAGATTTTACTGTTCCAAGTCTTGGTTCTAGTCTGATTTAGTTCTTTTGGCGTGGTCGCTATTTCATCGTTTGCAGAGTCGGCGGGTTCCTTTTCTGTTTCAATCATTTCGCTATCGACAAGCTGGTTATCAGGATTAGTACAGGTCCCAAGATCTACAAGATTTGGCGGTAAAGCTGAGGACTGGAAGCCTAAGTGGCTAGTCACTGTATTATCTTTTAAGTTTAATGATGCTATAGAGTTTTTATCATCTAGGTCTCCAAGCTTTGATAAAATGGACTCTCCAGGTGAAAATTGGGGTGGGACGTAGTGACTTGGAACACATTCTTTGATCAACCTACTGAGTTCCATAGCACAGTGTGATTTTAAGTCAGTGCCTGGGGTACTAATAATACATCGAGTGTAGTGCTTTCCATCTTGGCCTTGGATTGTAAAATAATTACGCTCAAGCTTTTTTGTTTCAATTAAATTATCTAAGAATTTGTTGCATTCTTTGTATTCAGGCGCTGAAACGAGGCCATCACTGGGCTGACTAGATGTAGACTGTTTTAACCATAATGCTATTAGACAAAACCAAAGACTTTGATCGCCTGGAAAGATGTTATTATTGGCCTGAACTAAGGATAGCATGAGTGCTTCATATTTATTTGATTCCATTGTACTAGATAGAAAGACCTTCTCTGCTATGGAATCAAGAGGGGTTTTGGCACTTTGAGGTACTGCTAATAATAATTCCATTTTATCAACAGCTGTGGCAAGATTTCTTTCATTCTCGTTATAAACTTCAGACTCTTTTGGATTTTTGTTATTAAAATCTATTCTCCTACTCGCTAATGTTTCGGATGATTCCAATTCTCGAGCCTTTCGTATCCTACCGATTCCTGAGGTCGAATTTTTCATCGCCCAACTCATTACAGAGGCGTCACTTTCACTTGAAGATCCCGCGTCATCGGAAGAGTCATGCTTCTCGTGGTCCTGTTCAGGATTAGTTTGCTGAGGATCTATTGGTGGCGGAGCATCTTCACCCTCTTGGGCCTTATTGTTACTAGTATCTAGTGATTGCTTTCGTTTTTTCCGACCGCGTTTCCCTGGGCCTACTTGGGGGTCAAAATTTGGATTGCAAGTTGTCGCAGCCTTGGAGACGTGATATTCGAGACCGTTCTGATTCTTGAACCTCTTTTCACAGGTTTCACATTTGTAGGGTTTCTGCATTTCTTCTTTTATTTGCACTGGATGGTTATAGTCCTGGCCACTACGTAACTTACAGGCAACAATGCCCGTTACAATTTTCGCACGCATGTTATTGGCACTTTCTATAGCTGTAGTTGTTGGAGGGAATTCAAACGTGTGGATTATGATTTCACTACCCTGGGACCCCTCCTTGATTCTCAGCTCCATTGGTACTGAGCCAGTTATAGAGGTGATAGGATTTTGAGCAATATCAGATATATCCAACTTGAAGAGTTCACTATCAGAAGATTGATTAAGGGAGAGGAATTTAAGTATTTGCTTATTTTCAGACAGAATCAAGTTCCCTGCTTTTCCTTGATATATACAGGTTAAGCGGGCTGACTCTGCAGGAAATTGAATAGCTGCAGCCTCCTTCAGGTCGGATTCAACATTGTTTGGAGGTTCCGAGCCTCGTATTCTTTTCTTGAGGTTCAACTTCAGCTTCTTTGGTTGATTACCTACCAGAGGACTCTGCTCCTGTTGAGTGGCTTGAGAATATGATCGCTTCCCTTTGATTTTTTCGAGTGAATTTTCAGTTTGGGGGACCTGCAACAGGGACTCTTCGCTTTCTGATTGCATATTTGAAATATCTGCTTCAGGTGCAAGCGATTTTTGCGAAGCTTCAGGTTCAATGATTTCTCTTTCCTTTGAAATTGGATTCTGAGAATGACTATCGGAAGTTGGTGAAACGGTTTTTCTAGTTTCAGAGCATTCAATACCTTTTAAACCAGCTATAACATCAGCGGCAGTATTGGTCTCTGCAGCCGATAAAGCAGAGCGAAGAGTCGCCAATTTGTTTGGAGCTGATACATCGGGAGACCCGTAAGGTGCAGGGCCATATTTTTTTCCGATATCCTTATTGAGAAGAGATAAAGAAGGGCGTACAAGGACTTGGGTATGAGGCCTAGAGTCATCTTCATTCGTGGAAAGTGTTAATTTTTCAGGACTAGAAGGTAGAAGATTTTTATCAGATAAAACATCATTCATTTTATCACTTATCCTGTCAGATAATTTGCCTGTCAGATTTTGGGTATTTATTACGTTGGTGATAGGTTGTTCTGACGCTTTACCGGGGCTTTGAAGATGATTTGAGCTGAGGCAAGGAGTAGAAAGAATTGTATCATCAGTTGATTCGAGTTGCGCCTTTCTAGGTGTGACCCTAGTAAGAATGGCGGACCGAGGTGTGATATGGTTTTGGTTCGACTTAGCAGATCTTCTCGTAGTCTTGGGACTTGAGGCTGGCACGAGGCTGTTAGAAGACAGATCACGTCTTACGACCTCGTTACTAGCTAAGCTTGCCCTCAATATCAAATCATCGCCTTCGATTGTTGATTGATTATAGTTTCCCATGTTGTTGTCTTGAATTGCTTGAGTCTGATTAGAATCAACTCGGGAGCTCCGGCGACGGGGCATTGAAGAGATAATGCTACTTTTCGATGCAGGAGAAGTGTTATGTCCGGTGGCGGGTAAATTAAGATGACTGCCCAATCTATTTAATCCACTTGGGGTAGAGCTACTATCTTGGTCTTCACTCTGAATTGATGATTTCACAGTCATTTCTCGAGAGGGTCTCGAATTCACCAAGGACTGATTGCTTTTGATAATTAATGTACGTCTTGTTACAATTTTTTTCTGCGGTTCCTGTTTACCACTTGGTCCCGCAAATTTGGGAGTCGACTGGTTAATATTTTCATTATCATCGGAGTCCTGGCAGTTAATCTCTTCTTCGGACTGTGTCCAATTTTCGGCCGGCTTTTGATAAGGTGAGAAAGGAGTTGAATTCTTAGTTTTTTTCGATACTCTACGCCTCTTGGGAGTAGCCTCAGAATCTGAAATGGTTATTCTGAACTTGCTCTCAGTCTTCCGTTTCCGAAGTCCATGGTTACTGTCCTCCGCATCTATTATCTGGGAAGCGATTGCCTCGGCAAAATACTCGTGCCATGTGCCTTTCCTTCTTTCTAACCAAGTAGGATCTTTTAGCATTTCTGATTTAAACACAATAAGGCGCGGGCGTTTTATTGGCCTTCCTCTTGTAGGCTCGGCAGAGCCAGTTACCTTGGGGTTGATATAGGCTCCAGAAATTCCCGCTTCGTATCGTATTTGCTCGTAGGGAGTGTATGTTGCTTTCTTTAAATTTGAATCTATCTTTTTGATCGAATTCGCCTTCGTGATTTCCCTCTCTCTTCCAACTGGAGTACTCGGAAAAATGCCTGGCTCTAATGAAGCTTCAGAGTAGGATAGAGAGTCTATAGAGTCATTAAGATGAAGTTCTGTTTGCAGGAGGCGAGACTTGTTCCTACTTAGTTCTGTACTACCTTCTTTATCCATTGCAAGTGAAGATCCGAGTTCAGTTGGTTGCGCATGAATCGTAGATGCAGCTTGTGACACGTTCACATGTAAGGCTGAAGGAGTTGTTATGATATCTTCGCTTTGACTGAGGATTTGAGGTGCAAAACTTTGATCTTCTCCTGCATCCAATGGTTTAAGATTGTCATCATTTGTTAACTTTACCTTTTGCCGGATATATATTCTTTTTTCTCCTAAACCCAGAGCCAGAACGTCCTCGAGTCCAAGTTTTCGCAGAGGTGACTTGCTTAGCTCGGTTTCCTTTCCATCGAGCAGTAATATATTTTTATCGCAGACAAGGTCTGACCAAAGACTAACTTTTGTGTCCTCATTAACGTGTGCATAGTTTTCTATACCTTCAAATAATTTTGATATAGTTATCCCTATTGAATGAATCCATCAGTGGAAATTCTAGTGGGGACAGGTCAATGCATATTTATCACATGACATTATGTGAACTCATTAATTATGTAAGAGGGCGATAACACAACTTAATGAATACAACTTTGAACTTGCTTCTACGTTATAAAAGCAAAGACTATACTAAACTCACCTTCCTCTTCAGATCTGCGCAATTCGCCCAGCACCCATGATATAACGCTTTCATGACTCAAAGTCATTTTGTTAGAAATTCAGTATCATTCTAGAATTTGGGGTTATCGATGATGATTTCGAGGCCGATGGCAAAATGTTTGAAAGTAATAACTTGATACGTGTAAATGGTAGGATTAAAAGTTGATTTTCAGGCGAGAGTACCACACTTACAGTCGCCTTAGAAACAGTACTTAGTGCTGATTTGGACTAGCTTAAAACTGAAGCGAGAAATTTCCTATTTGCATTTGATTTTGTTTAGCCCGATTTGGCGCCCTACAGGAGTAGGCAGGTGCCTATCAACTCTGATATCTACATATTAGGGTACTATGAGTCAATGTTTATTTTCCTAAAAAGTCTATAACTATGTAAGTACATGTAGGTCCTTTCTGCCTACAGTCCAGGAGTATCTATGCCTCGGGTATTGTAATCCCTCCTTTGCCTCCCTCACGACTTCTTTCCAGCAGCAATACCCCCACAGGCCTTCATTCGAGTACATATTATGGTATGTGTCTGTGTGTTTATCGCGCTACTTGAGTCTATGACTATCTAGCACATTGGGTTCCTCTCTGACCCATGCTACACCTTGTACAGTGATCCCATCCTCTTTTGTTACTTGAAAGATCATTGATATACTTCCCGTGATGAATAGCCATTCAGCTCAGTATTTACCCTTGGAATTCGTCCACATTTTCCACGGATCCTTCTGTCCAAAAAAAAGGAAAAAAAGGTATCAATGGAAACTGCGTGCGCGGGAAAAAGTCACAAAAAACCTGCAGCCCCAGCCGGGCGAGGCCTAGACACCGGGACCACATGAGGTGCGCATATTCATCTATATTTTCCATATTTGCAACATTCGAGGCCGACTTCATCCATTCCTCCATCTCCGTATCGGGTGCTGGGTACGATCCTGAAACTCATCGGATGGCTTTTCCAACATGATCACGGGTTGGTGACGAGAAAGGCTCCGACCCTACCATCTGATCTGATCGTTATTAGCTTGACGATAATGGTGATAGGGAAATGTGTTGAGAGATGAAGACGGTACAGACGGCGAAAGCGATTGGGAATCCTCGTCGAAGTGAGGACTTTGTTACTCAATCTCGGCTCTGCAGACTCTACTATGAGAGCTGGAGGTTCGTAGGGGACACCACTGACAGGTGTTGACAATAGTCCCCCACATATTAGAGTACATTTGTAGTAAAAATCCTTTAAATTCTCATATTTTCGCTTTGATTTCAACAGTCAGTCGAAACTATTCCAGCCGTCCACGCTGGATCCAACATGTTATCTATGGTATATCTTTTGTATTGTTCATCACTCCTTCAAATGACAAGTTCTCTGCCTTTCTCAGTATTTCTCTTCTTCCTTTGGCCCAGCTAGTACAGGCTATGACTATCTGCTTCACATTCTAGGACGTATATCCAAATTATCGTCACTGATTATCTATCCCTGGATCTTTATTTTGTGCAGATAGGAGTTGAACCCGATGTGTTCGCTTCTTATTTGCATGGTTTTGCTGCAATGGGCTCTCCCCAGGTGGTTATAGATACTGTTGGGTGTTCTGTGGTCCATCTTTTTTCTTTTGGTCTTATCATCTAAAGAAAATACTTGATTTGTTTACAAAAGGGTTACGTCGACCAAAACTAAGTTAATATATCCTAAATTATTCACAAATACTGTTGATACAAAGCCTCATCAAAGCCATATGAAAAATCTGATTCTTATTTAAACATAACTTCTCATGTAACCTAGTTCAGCTTATGGTCAGCTTAATCCTAAGAAATTTAACCAACGATGCGAGTAAAATGTCTCGGCGAAATCACGCAATGCAGGAAACTGCTCGTTTTCAATTCAATTTCAGTCGTAGCTAACGCAGGGTTTAAACTTCTATTGACTAAACTTGTAATTCCATCCAATAATTATATTAAGTTCCACATTTAAACCATGCGGATTTTGTGTTAGAATCTATGAAACTGTAAACCTAATAATCACGTATGTCTTTATTTGGTTGACTACAGTAACGTTAGACAAAACCTGTCAAATGATCCGTCACAATTTAAATCCTATTTTGAATTTGATTTCATTATCCTGATTTGGCGCCCTATGGGCCCATGCAGGTGTCTACAGTCTAAAATATTTACCCGGGAGGAAACCTTTATGGTGAAAACCTCCCACACCTTTCTATTTGTTGTCTATAGTTCTCGCATAATTTCTTCAGGAAGCGCAGTTACACTATAGTGCCATCCATATAAACTAACCAGATCATCTCTATCCTCCCCCAGCATTGTTTGACCTTTTCCTTTCCTTCAGCAGTATTTCGACCGCTTTTGTCATCTGGGATTGCTCTATCCAACCATGGTTTAGGATACACTGTGTTATCCTTTTTATATCTCCAGGATTATTTATCATCGCTTCGTAGGATCGATCTTTGACTTGTCTCCAGATCTCAGCTCTACCATTTGACCATCGGGGGCAGGTTATAATCATGTGCTTGGGGTTCTGTGATTGGTAGCCGCATGGACAACCTGGACTTAATACTCCGGGTACGTTTCTTCCGTGTAAATACGAGTTAAGCCCCATGTGCTCACTTCGTATTTGCATTGCCAAACTGCTTTGGGCTCTTGTCAGGTTACGGTGTAGGAAGAATGGTGAGCCTTGAAAACTCAGTTTTTGCCGTCCAGACTCTCTACTTTGGTAAAATGTGGCTGATCTCCAAGTTTCGGAATCTGCAGTTGCTAACTACCGAGGCTTCTGAGTTTGTTCCTGCTTGGCCCAGGATTTCGCCCACTCTTGGTATGCCATAATTTTCATTATCTTTGTATGTGTCTTCTTGGTTTGTTGTTCTTTAAATCATATTAATAATCCATTAAGAATTTTACTATTATCAAATGTTATTATTCTGCTTTATCAGCCCAAAACTGTGTAAGATATGTAAGTCTTCTCCACCTGTAGGTTAATAAAACCTATTCTGGTAGTTTATCCCCTCCTATGCCTCCTGTACAGTTCCCCTCGTAGAGTACCACCTCTCACAAGTTCTTATTTGATCAAACACTTGGAAAGCCCTTTTCCCATCATTATCTCTCCCCGTAAGCCGTCCTATTGATGGCAATTTGCGGATACATGACAGCAGAGGAAGGTTGCAAAGCCCACCGTGTACGGGGCTCTCCTAACACCTACATCAGAACTGATTCCAAAGACATAGCTACCCTTCTGAAGCGTTTGAAGAGGCCAGCCAGTTGGGTGGTGCAGCCTCATGTGTACCCAGGAAGAACGCTCTCTGCATATCTAGCCTCCTTTAAACTCTTTCCCAAAAATCGCGTTGAGATGTCAGGAAAAGTCTTAATAGGGTGTATATGCTGGTTAGTAGCTTGGCCCTACTTCTTTTGTGCCGTTCAGGGTACTGTAGAGTACCGTTTACTCATGGATAATAAAAGTCTTCCTGGATAATTATCCAATAGCATAGTCTCAGCACCCACATATTCGCCAAAGCCGAAATTACTAGTCCCAGCATGCCCATTGACCTTCTTTTCCCTCTCCCGTTTCATGTCACAGTCGCCTGTTCTCATTCAAGTTGTACAGCCAATTAGAGCAACAGTTCCCCATAAGCCAGACCCGATGTCGCCGGATCAGATAATGTTCGTATACAACAGAGAAATTCCAGAATAAAATCAGCTAATAAAATTTTGGGGTAGAAGGTTGCAAAATTTCAGCTGTATAAATGGAGAAACATATTTATGAGCGCCAATCATCAAAACCTGTGTTGCTTAGCAATCATATGAAGACTACATATCAGCCGTACTGGCACAGAAAGTACAGTCCCAAAGGATTAATACTGTAGCACCAGAGCATTATAAATTGTAACTATTTTCCTCCTTGCGCAGATACATGGTGTCGTAAATAGGTATAGGTTGATGGCAGGTAATCCGTAGGGGAAGACCCTGTTTGCATTTGGAGTAACTCTTAAATCAGTCGTTGAAACGAGGTGGTGTGTGGTGAAGTTGAGGTGGAGGACTCGCGTGAGAATTACAAGCCCGATATCAATGAGAAATTGTCGATAATGGATATACTCGTGTTCGGTTTCAGCCTCGATCGGGTTGCTATTCTTCCTGGCTATTCCAGATAGACAGAAAATATGGAGTAATTACAACGGTGTAGCTGGAATGTGATAAACTCATCCCTAGGGCTTTAGAATTGTAATGTCCCAATGGAAGACTAGCGCACTATCAAAATTTTAAACAGGTTACACTTGCATAGTATTCACTTGGGGAAATAAGGATTCATATTTACTCTTGAAATATTATGCAGCGGTCAACACCAATTTCTAAATCTACTTGAGGCACTTCTTATCAATGATCTCCTCCATCAAGCCATAGTTACCAAATCATCCGCAATGCCACAACATAGCGGGTACCGGATCTGGTCTCAGGAAACCCAGCGACCCCAACGCTCTTAAATTACGACAGCAGTAATGATTACTTAAAGCAGTGAAGCGGACACAATACGAATTGATAAGAGCCAAATGAGTTGAGGCACCCACTAAAGAAGCTTAGGATTATTTACCCAAATTATGACAACGATGAAATAACTATCCCTACGGAAGACATAGCGGAGGATATAACCTCCCTAAACCCACATGAAAAGTCCTGGAATGAGATTTAGATGATGACGTCTCCCCTCAAAGAAAGGATGCTGAGTTTAAAGCAAGTATTTAAGAAGAGTCTCGTAGATAATTCTTGCAAGGCGGCTCCACCAATATTTATAGGACCGCGTGCCCCGAAAACTCTTACCTCAACAGTTGTAACGTTGATTACAAAAACAATGGTTCAAAATCTGGTGGAAAATGCATAAATTTTATTGCCAGCAGAGCTTCTTTCAAGGGCACAGAAAAATATTCCAGGAGCTTATAAAATCCGCCAGATGCGGAATTATGACTCTGATGCGTTTGTTCTATCGTTGAACCAGGGGCACGGCTTTAAACTGGAAGAGAGTAGAAGAATTTAAGGTCCTATGGTAAGATATTCACGTCGAGGTTTACGGAACTGCTAGGGACAAAAACTGAGTGTATTAAATTCACCAATTACTCGAATCTAATCAGTGACATTGAGCTGTCTACGAGATTCCGAATTTCAGGACTGACTATGAGTAGAAAAGATGGATGCACGATGGAAAGGAGATCGTTCAGGCTACGAATAATGGTCGTTCAAGACGTTGGATTATATTGAGCCCCCCACGGCGATCTTACATGAACAGGTGGTCCGATACGGCATGGTGCTGGATTCCACACTATACTCAGCACAAATATGGTTCCCCAGGAACCAGCCAAATAACTCTTATGAATTCGGCTAATAGAGACAAGCATACGTCGTGTGGTAAGGTAGCCCGATTTGGCGAGGTTACCAGCTCACCAGACTCGGAACTGCACAAGGAAGATGTTTTCATGCGCGATTACGATAAGGAGCATTGTTCTTTTTTTTTTTGCATCAGATTTTAATTGCGTGTGCAGCTATCTAGCTATGACACGATATCAGAGAAAAGTACAGAAAAGGTGACTCAATTTACAATAGGAGCACTCATGCCTCGGATTTCATTTGCAAGTACCACTGCGAAGTTATGGCGGCTTTTTCTTCACCCTAAGTCAACTCTCATCCGTGAATACCCACCCAGGGCAACGTCTCAAAAACCCTGAGTTATCCAGACATGCCTCCGTCATCCATCAACTTTTCTCCGCGCAAAATGTAATCTAAGATGTCTCCTTCCCAAGTGGAGTAGGTGCCTTGGCTACCCAAACTATACCAGAGAACACCACCAGGAGAGGGATCACAACATCTTCCATCATCGGCTTATTTTTATAGTGTCAGCTGCACTCTCGCAAGCGAAGTCTTGGCGCGCACAAAGCTCAATTCATAAAACTCCTTGCCAAAATTCAAGATCACACGCCCGTCGAGACTGTATTCATCATTCGCATCATCTTGTGAACTTGTCCCGAATCCTCTCACGCCAATCCCAAAGAACAGTCTCCCTGAATTGTGCGCCACGCTTTGTGTCCTTCGTTGGGTATAAATATTAGCGTGGGCGTGTATTTGGTGACAAGCTGAGGCCAGAGAAAGTCGACGAGAGGTGTGGTCATTGGAATGAGGATGTACTAGGTCGTACTTGTAGACTTGATGAAGCTTAGTTGAGAATCGGACTCTTTGGGAGCGAAAAATTGACATGGTGGAGTGATTTGAATTTTTGTCTCGTGGGCCAACTTCTTTGATATTGCGAAATTTGACTGAACTTGGCTCCGGGAGAATATTTCACTCCCAGGTTCGTAGAGGACACCGCGTACAGGTGTTCAGTCTTTGCCCTCCAGGAGCATTGTTCGTGGGATACAGTAGCATGCCAGATTTTTCAAGTCAACAAGGGTTATGTTCAGAGCCGGCTTCGAGCTATCTGATCGAACTTCGTGGATTCGAAATGAGGTTATCCTGAAAACTAAGACACAAAAGGTATTAACAACAATTGACGATCAGGGATCTATTCCGGTCACTAGCAATTAATGTGAACCAACGAAGAAGGGATCAGTACTACCTTAGAAAATGATCACAGGTTTAATGGCGGTACAATATACACTAAAAGCTACAACAATGGCAGCTCTGACTATCTAAATAACGAAGATCAGAGAAAGAGATTGTGTATAGATTCCTCTTTACCTAGCCTGAGAAGTATTTAGAGCGTTAGAGTTGTTAGATTTGTGGTGGTACTGAAATTAATGAAGCAAAGGTATACCCTAGGTATGAAGCTGGGATGTGCTTTTGTAGCGGAACTATGGATTTTGAGGCCTGGAGGTCTATTCAATTCTTAATGTGCCTTACCGTCTTTGTAGTTTTGTAAGTTGGATACCTAACATGACATTAATCAGGAGTAGATCAAATCATTAATTAGTGTTGGGATTTATTTTCGTGACCCATTAAGTTAACTAACTAGACTTGATCGGTATCCCTCCAGAACGTTTCTCCTCATCTCGCCCAGTAATTCCCTTCTTCGCAAACTTCCACTTCCCCTAGGGACATTCTCAACATTAGCACCAGTGACACGAGCTTGGAACTTCTCTTTGGGAATTATTGAGATAGCTGGGGGCGCTTGAACAAGGTCGTGAAGTCCAGGCTTCCTCTCTCCACGGTCCCTTTTAATCTTGTCCCAAGGGTCTTCATCGCTATCATTTGCCTCCTTTGACAATTTCTTTCTCTTTGTTTTTTTAACTTTGGCCGAGGTAGCTGAGGTAGAAACATAGCCTTTCCTATTCATTTGACCGTTTACGCTTGACTCCCTTTCTTCGATAAGCTCAGCTGCCTCTTGTCTCATTTCCTTCCTCTTTGTCTCTTCAGCCCGCCATTCGTCATACATTTTGTGCATACGCTTCTCCATCCGAGTACGTGTAGGCTTCAATCCTAGAGGGTCGTTCCCTCTCTTGACTGAATTGTTAATTAAGCCGCTCACAGGTAATGCGGCATCTACTCGAGCACTAAATTCCGATAGCTTTTCACCGGATCGAATGACAGGAACTTCAGAGCTTGTTGTGACTTTGGAATCAGGCTTCGCTTGTCCCTGTGAAGAAGCTTTAGCGTTCTTCTTCGTTCTAAAACCATCGTCGAGGCCAAGCGGTAATTTTTTTCCTTTCTGAAATTCTAGGAGCGAGACGAAAAGTTTTGGCGTATCATCTTGATTGTTATGGTTTCGTTTTCGTTTCTTGCTAGGTTTCCTTGACTTATCAACAGCTGATGTGGTGGTAGTTTTCCCTCTTGTAGGATTATAGGCTGGTAAAGGGTTGGCGAACTGTGTTGGAGGTAGATCCGTGAGCGATTTATCTAATTCCTCTCTGCGTTTATGTTTATGAGGCATTAGTCAATTGATTATAATTTAATAAAATATTTGGGTTGTCGGATGTGGCCCAAGAATTTTTTTGCTGCCAAGAAACCATGTTCGAAGATGTGACTGGACCTATTTCTTAGCTTCGTAACTCCAGAAATCTCTAATCAACCACTGCCAATTTTGTCTCCAACTTAGGATTCTCCAATTTAAATTACAAATATTCCATTGCACTGGTTCACTCCCACCAATCTCACTGTTGGGAACCTAAAAGAATTTCATGCGCTAACGTCTAAACGGCAAGATGTTGTAAATATTCTAACGCATACTGATTGATCAATAGGCATATCTTTGCTAAAGAGTTTATAACCTGACAGAAAGATCAAAACTCATGAGAACTTTGATCACCGATACTTCATCAAATCATATGCCATCGAAGACCTTTGTAATAGCTAATGATGTACTATATTTATTTTACCTATAATTGTGAGACAATTAACGAATTTAAAAAGCATTTAAATATTCGAAGCTGGATCGATGTGAAATTTTTTATCCTGTAACTTTTGGTATGAGAGTTATTTAAAACACTACATAATAGTTATCAACATGAAATTCTCGTGTGGGAAGGTTTTATCACTTCGGCGCGAAATTTCATTAATATCGTTAGGCACCAAGCAAAGTATATGATCTATCAAAGGTGGTCAAGAACTCTTGATACCTACTAGCAGTGCCTCATATAGGCCTCCGGCTCCCACCGTAAAGTATAGAGCCAAATTTTAATTGAATACTGGGTAGGAGGGCTCCTACTTTCAATGAGTCTACAGCCATTCACGGGATCTATGACAACACAAAGAATTTGCCTGCGTTAATTGAAAATATAAGGACTTTGAGAATAATTATAGTATCTTAATTCAACCTTCAATTAGCTCTAGATGCAAACAAGATGTATTGGAAGGCTAAATAGATCGCAAGAATTTGTTTCCAGAACACATTGGGGAACAGCCACCAACTGGACTTCCTCCCAGGGTAGATTGAAATGTAAAGTTTCTCACTTCATTTTGACCTAATATTTTCATTTGGGGAGCCCGTAGCCGGTGAATTTACCATTTTTTTGCCTATCTAATTTGTGCAAATGTCCTTTATTTGGATTATTGAAGATGGAAGATGAAAGAAAAAAGACTCTGGAATTCAAATGATTAAATGAAGATTTGTGAATTGTGGTACTTTCAGTTGGTGAATGTAAAGGAGTAATAGAAGAGAATGGAATTGATTAATCTTACGTATCAGTCTATAGCCCTATACCCGGGGGGGCTATTCTCAACACCCGTCAATGGTGTCTCCTACGAACCTCCAGCTCTCACTTTGGGGTCTGCAGAGCCGAGATTGAGTAACACCTTTTCAACTTTGGGCTGAGATATCACCCCCTCCGTCAAATATACGCTTCCGATAACTCATAAGACGAGTTAGAAGACGATAATGATGCTGGGAATGAGGAAAGTTTATGCGGTACCAAACGCTATATGTTGTGATCCTAGTCTGCGCAAGGAAGCAAGGGCTTCACAGGCAAGACTCAGTGATGAAACAACATGACTTTAGTTATGCAAGCTCATATTAATGCATGACTCAAATTTGAGTCGTGCTCAATGTTAGGAGCTTAAGGATCAAACAATGTCGATACGCATTACATGAGTACATCAGACAATCAATGGACATGGCTGTAGAACAGATGGCACATGTATATTATCAGGTCCATTTACTTCTTAGGTAGATTATGCGTTCATCTTTAGATATCTATTATACTCTCAGATAGTCTAAATACATTCGCCCACCACCAGAATATTCATTCCACATTATTCTTTATATATATACTGTCCTACCACTATACTTATCCATCTAACCTCGTAATTACAACACTGTAACGTAAGTCAGAGAAGCCTTCCTTATATTACATCATGTGCTACCCACTGGCGGCCGAACAAAAAGCCCACGAAAGCAAAGTAAAAGACCCTTCCGCCCTCAGGAAAAGTAGACTTCGACTCGTCTATAATATCGTCCCTACTAATCTTAACTTCCGAATACACTAGCCAGGAGGGCATCCGGAATAAATGAGTTACCCGACGACCCCACGTCCGTACCGATTTTCGGAAGCTAGGCTAGGCTCACTCACGACACTCACTCTCGACCAAGACTTTTCTGACATCCTTTCACGATCTTCGGTTTTTCCTACGGCATGAATCAGGAAGAGAGGAAGGAGGAGACTAGGAAGGTTGAGAGACGCTCTTAGGTATACACAGGTCTGCTGCGCCCAGCTGGCCGGACTCTTAGTCATAGGAGAGCCCCGCACCCAGTGGTTTTTGAGACTTTTCCCTGCACCAATATACCCGCAAATGGCCATCGTTTAGTTGGATGGAGAGGGTAGATAATGACGGGATAACGGCTCCTCTTATTGTGTACCCGAATGAAGACTTGTGGGGGTATTACTGCTGGAAAGAAGTCGTGAGGGAGGCATAGGAGGGAGTACACTACCCGAGGCATAGATACTCCCGGCCTATAGTCAGAAAGGACCTACATGTCCTTACATAGTCATAGACTTCATAGGACAATAAACACATACACACACATGTATAGCCCTATACCCAGGAGGCTTGACACGGGTGCGTGCTCCCGGAGGACTCACTATTGTCATGAATACGCTTTTCACATTAGTAGTAAATTGTCATATACGTAGTGTAGCACGCAGAGCCAGGGCAATGGAAACAGGTTAGTGATAAATTAGATACCACCAATTGCTACACTCACCCGTAGATCACTCCTAAAAGAGACTAGCTACGGCGCTATCTGGAAGTATGTGGGATTGGTTAATTATCATGAACATAACCTGTAACACTACATAACATAACATAATAACACAATAAGATACCATTTGCATCCCGTAATATTTTATTGCCATAATCACCCAAGTATATTCTAAGACCCCTGAGTAGTCTTAACCATTTAATTGAAGATACCAAGTGTATACAACCATATACATCACCACCCTCCAATAACTATCACTTCTAATGCTGACTTTATTTGGCCAGGAACTTATATGATTGAAATCAAAAACATCAAAGAAAATTTTTGCTGCTGTGTCACTTTTCTTTGCATTAGAATTTAATTACGTATTCAGATATCTAGCTATGGCAAAATATCAGAAAAAAGTACAGAAAAGATGACTCAATTTACAAGAGGAGCACTCATGCCTCAGATTTCATTTGCAAGTACCATTGCAAAGTTATGGTGGCTTTTTCTTCATCTCAAGTCAACCTTCATCCGTGAATACTCACTCAGGGGAACGTCTCAAAAACCCTGGGTTATCCAGACATATCTTAATCATTCACTGAATTCTCTCCGCGCAAAATGTAGTCTAAGATGTCTCCTTTTAAAGTGGAGCAGGTGCCCAGGCTACCCAAAATATACCAGAGAACACCACAAGGAGGAGGATCACAACACCTTCCATCGTTGGCTTGTGTTTATAGTGTCAGCTGCACTCTCGCAAGAGAAGTCTTAGCGCGCACACAGAGTATAATTTGTAAAAATCCTTGCCAAAGTTCAAAATTACATGCCCGTCGAGATTGCATCCGTCCTCTGTCTCATCTTGTGAACTAGTCCTAATCCCTCTAACGTCCATCCCAAAGAGCTGTCTCGCAGATTTGTGCGCCACGCTTTGCTTCCTCCGTCGGGTATAAATATCGGCGTGGGCGTGTATTTGGTGACAAGCTGAAGCCAGAGAAAGTCAAAGAGAGGTTTGCCCATTGGGATGAGGATGTACTGGGTCGTACTTGTAGACTTGATGAAGCTTAGTTGAGAATCGGACTCTTTGGGAGTGAAAAATTGACATGGTGGATTGATTTGAATTTTTGTCTCGTGGGCCAACTTCTTTGATATTGCAAAATTTGACTGAACTTGGCTCCGGGAGAATATTTCGCTCTTAGGTTTGTAGAAGGCACTATGTTTAGATATTCAGTCTTGCCCTCCTAGCAAGATGTTTGTATACAACAAGGGGAGTGTTGTGATTGATGACATAACTACCCCTGTGTCAAACTCGAGGGTGCCAAAGGTAGCGTCGGGAGTGTTACTGAGTGGCTTGGGCAATATCTGAGGAAGTTGGCAAGAGTCAAAGGTATAAATTTGTAATTATAACTAGAGCCAAGGACGAGGGAATCTAGGATCGGAGACAAGGCCAGTGGAAGACGGAAGACAAGACGTGGCCCTCTGCTGCGGCTCTGTTCAATACATATATACATCATAGTAACCAGAGCAACCTAGGTCTCATAGAGTCCATCTTCTACTACTCGATTACTCAATTCGTAACCCATAGCAACCATTGTATCCCAGTAACCTCTATCCCCAGTTCCTGAGACCAGATGAGTCGGCGTCGTGCGGCATCTAGCAGCACACAATAGTCGGCCAGCCATTGGCGTCCAAGAATTAATCCGTGGTTTCCGAGAGAAGTGACTAAAAATGGAGTAAATGATTGAATGCGTTTATTGATAGTAAAATTCAAATAAGTGTAATGAGTAATGGACTTGCCAGCGAGCTTGTTGTACCTTTTGATTGGAATTGGACGAGGTAGACGATGAAGGAAAGATTTTAACGGGTGTGAGAGTCTCTTGAGAATAGAAGAGTCCAGTAATCCATTGTCAGGTATCCCGAGACAGTTGTGTATACGAGGACGTCGCTGTTATGCTAAACATGTCTCGACATATAAACTGCATCAACTTGCTTGATACATTTGTATATGTTTCGTCCAGAGATTAGATGTTACACTAATTAGCCTAATACAATGACTAGCCCAATGTACTGACTAGCCTAATATGCTACAGTCTCAACATGAATAGGCTGCTAGCTGAAACGGCGGGAGAGTCTTGAAGGAATCTTGGACGGGAATATATGTATCTTAGATTTCTAGCAAGTAAAGGAATATACTGTTTTTCTCTCATCATCTAGATCTATGTCATTTTTTACAACTGCACAGGACAGTCCCTTACATT